TTTTTTTTTTTTTTTATTTTTAATCAGTATCAGCTACTGCAAGAAAGTCAGTCATATCTCTGGGTATTCTGTCTGTGAAAGAGTTGTTTTGTATTCCTGGCAGCATCCCTTACTATCTTTGCCTGTTTGCTTACCAGTCCCATCTCCTATCCTCAGGTTTGTATACTTTCTTCCGCTAGAGCTCCTTTTTAGTGTGGTGTGTTTTAAAGGTGAAGAGGAAGGAGCTAGTTTTGTTTTCTGCAGTCAGTATTTTGTTTGATTCAGAGACCAACTTCTAACGGTGGATTTTTGAGTGTTAGTGTTTAAGATGCTTTCTGAGTATGTAATACGCAGGCTTTAATTCTTTTTTCCTCAGAAGAAGAATCTCAAACAAAATCAAAGCCGGACAGTGACAAACTGAACTCCCTCGGTGTGCCTTCCGTTTCAAAGAGAGTAGTGCTGGGAGATTCAGTCAGTGGAGGAGCAGCTGACCAGTCCGGTGGTGTGGATCCAGGAATGCAGCTGGGGGACAAACTGGACTCGTTGGTTAAACCACCAGAGTGCAGTAGTGATGATGGGGTTGAGCTCCGACAGCGCAACAGAAGTGACCTGACAGACCCGGCCCAGAGGGCGTCTCACCACAGCCTAGAACAGTACCTTTCCAGATTTGAAGAGGCCATGAAACTTCGAAAACAGCTGATCAGCGAGAAGCCTAGTCAGGAGGATGGAAGTACAACCGAAGAATTTGACTCTTTCCGAATATTTAGATTGGTGGGGTGTGCACTTCTTGCTCTTGGCGTCAGAGCTTTTGTTTGCAAATATTTGGTAAGACAAGAGCTGAAGGCTGGGAAAATGTTCGCTGAATTGTAATAATGGAGATTTCTTGCCAGCATTACCAGATCTATGGGGCCATTTGAAAGTGTATTATAAATCCAGTTATTTATCCTAGTTACAGAACGAGAGCCTATGAATAGTAGTTACTACTGTCTGTTTACAAGCTAGGTACCATTTTAAGTGCTTGTCTTACATTAGTTCATTTAAGTTCCATCTTAACATGTCATTTGAACCCATGAAGACTCAGATTAACTCACCCAAGGCCACAGTAACTGACAGGTGGGATGAAGCCAGGCAGTCTCATCCTAGAACCAGAAGTGTAGACACCTGTACCTACTACATATTAGCTAGTAACTTTTCAAGTAGTTGGAGAAATTAAAGTGTACTTCTTTTGGTCCGGTGTCAGGTGAGTGTCTACAGTTCAGAAGCTGTTTCAGCGTTGTACAGCGGAAGTTGTGTCATAGCAGCAGTGCCTTTTTTCAAAAGACTTATTTTAATTTGATTTTGTGTATTTCCTACCTGTATGTATGTATACCATGTCCATGCTTGGTGCCTACTGAGGCCAGAAAAGGGTGTCAGATCCTCTGAGCTGGAATTAGAGGCAGTTGTGAGCCATCATGCGGGTTCTGGGAACTGAACCTAAGTGCTGTTACCCACCCAGCCACTGCTCCAGCCTCCCAATGTCTTGATTTGAAGTAGGTCCATTCAGTAGACAGTTAAGAATATTCACTAGGTACATACATACAATTTACATACATCATAAGGCGAAGCAGTTTTTAAAAATCTGCTTTTATGCAGCCGGGCATGGTGGTCCACGCCTTTAATCCCAGCACTGGGAGGCAGAGGCAGGTGGATCTCTGCCTTCTAGGCCAGCCTGGTCTATAGCACACCAGGACAGCCAGGGCTGCACGGAGACACCCAGACTCAAACACAAACAAATCAAAACTGCTTTTATGCAAATATTTTCTTTTTTTAATTTTAATTTTATTTTTATTAATGACAGTTTATTCACTTTGTATCCCAGATGTAGCCCCCCTCCCTCATCCCCTTCCAATCCCACACTTCCTCCCTCTTCTTCTCTATGCCCCTCGCAGAATCTGTTCAGCAGGGTTAATGGTCTCCCCTGGTGATAAATAGTCACCATAGCCAAGATCAGCGATGCCTTTAGTCTATGAGCCAGGAGCTGCTCTTATCTAAGGGCTCTGTGCTGTGGTGCCATTTCTTTTAAAGATTTATTTATTATGTATACAGTATTCTGCCTTCATGTATGCCTGCGTGCCAGAAGAGGGCACCGGATGTTGTTATAGATTGTTGGGATCCACCCTGTGGTTTTTGGGAATTGAACTCAGGACCTTTGGAAGAATAGCCAGTGTGTTTAACCTCTGAGCCATCTCTCCAGCCCCCAAAAGCTATTTTTAAAGATAGTTTTGTTTATTGTATGTGTATGAGTGTTTTGCCTGTGTGTGTATACTTTGTGTGTGCTGGGTTCCTGTAGAATTAGAAGGGGGTGACAGAGCTCTGTGGAACCAGATTACAGGTGGTTGTGACCACCACATGGACCCTGGGAATTGAACCCAGGTCTTCTGCAAGAGCAGTGAGTGCTCTTTCCCACTGAGCCACCTCTCCAACCCCTGAGGACTTTTGTCATTTTGCTTTTCTGGCTTTCTTCACTATCAGATATTCAGTTGTTTGTTTCTTGCTTCTGCCACACAGCAATGCTCTTTGCCCCTTGATAACTTTTTACATCTTAGAAATAATTATGTAAGTTAAGTGCCATTTTGATTTTTTTCCTTTTGCTGAAGATGTCAAACCACCAAACTGTTTTAAGAATAGCCTGCCATTTTCAAGCCAAGCTGTATGTCAACTCTGCCTCAGCTCCGAGGGACATGTGGCTTTGTCCCTGGAGCGCCGGCTTTTAGTCTGTGCCTTTAGTTGTTGGTCAGTCTCCTCTAGGGGAGGGAGAGGTTACAGCACCACTCAATACTCTGAAAGATGAGTTTGGGGCTGGGCACGGTAGTCTCTATGTCTACCTCCAAGTCTAGGACAGCAGGATCATGAGTTCAAGGCCAGCCTCTACATAGTGCCTCTCTGTATCAGTGGTTCTCTACCTTCCTGATGTGGCCCTGTAACACAGTTCCTCATGTTGTAGTGACCTTCAACCGCAAAATTGTTGCTACTTCATAACTGTAATTTTGCTGCTGTTATGAATCATAATGTTTTCCAAGGTCTGGGGTGACCCCTGTGAAAGGGCTGCAACCCACAGGTGAGAGCTGCTGCTCTCCATCGTGAGGCCCTGTCTTATACAAAGAAAATGAAGCTTTGGGCTTGAGAACACGTTTGGGCAGGGCACACTGAGAAATTACATCACATGAGCATGCTCTACGGATGGATAGTCAGACCTCTGTGTTTCCTTACTCTTCTGCAGAAACAATAGTCCAGGGCTGGAGAGACGGCTCAGCGGTTAAGAGCACTGTCTGCGCTTCCAGAGGTCCTGAGCTCATTTCCCACCAACACATGGTGGCTCAGAGTGAGATCTGGAGCCCTCTTCTGGCATGCAGGGGTACATGCAGGCAGAACAGTGTATGAATAATAAAAAAAATCTTTTTTTTTTTTTTAAGTACTTCCAGCTGCTGCACTAAATATTCTCCTGTAATGTTTTGCTTGGAGTTTATAGCTTTTGTTAAGTTGACTTAGTGTGATATGAATGATTCAACTGGAAACATTTAATTTTATTTTCTGTCTTCACAGTCTATATTTGCTCCATTTCTTACTTTACAACTTGCGTACATGGGACTATACAAATATTTTCCCAAGGTAAATTTAAGTCTTTTCTTAATTATGATGTATTTAGGTTGACTCGTGATTAAGTAATTGTCAACAATTTAATTTATTTGTGTGTGCATGTATTTGTGTGTATGTAGGATATGTAAATTTGGACATGCTTTGGTGGAAGTCAGAGGACAACTTTTAGGAGGGTTTTTTTTTTTTTTTTTTTTTTTTTCCTGTTCTGGCTTCTAGGGATCAGAGTGAGGTAATCAGGCTTGCAGACCAGCACTTTTACCTGCTCATGACAGAACTTAAGGAGTGGGAAGGTAGCTCAGTGGTTAAGAACACATTCTGCTCTAGTCTGCTCAAGTCTGATTCTCAGCACCCATGTCTGGTGGTTCACAATTGCCTGTAGTTCCAGCTACAGTGGACTCCCAACTCTTCTGGCCACTGTGAGTACCAGCTCTCATGTGCACGTACCTGTACAGATAGACACACATACACATAATTTAAAAAGTTCTATTTGGGAAACATTACTTAGACTGAGTTAGTGCTACAGGGTTAGGGCCAGCAAGATGGCTTAGCAAGTAAAGACAGTTTCCACCAAGCCTGGCTTGAGTTTGATTGCAAGGAATCATAGGGGAGCAGAGAATGGCCTGTGCAACGTGCCCTCTAACTTTTACACTCATACACAAACAACCAGTCAGTCATTAAATATATTGAAAACATTCAAAGTGGCTTCCCTGCCAGAGCTCATCTTCAGATTCATTGGGAAATTTAGTAATTCATTCTGTTGGTAAGAAATTAATTGTTAAAATGAATTTGGCTGTTTTTCTGGGCCCCCTTGGATCAGTGATAGCCGTTCACTTTACTGTTGAGAATGAGAGATACTAGACAACAGTTACACAGCAGAGTGGTGAGCTTGGCTTGCTTCACGCCAAGGGTGAACTCCCTGGTATGTCAGGCCAGGTGATGCTTGTAGGTAATTCTAACATTCAGAAGGTATAGCCAGAAGGAGCATGAGTTTGAGACCAGCCTGGACTGCCCTTACCTCCCAAGTGCTGGGGTTAAAGACGTGTGCTACCACCACCAGGCAAGAATTTGCTAGCATGAGTTTTTGTTTTTGTTCTTCAAGACAAGGTTTCTCTGTGTAGCCTTGGCTGTCCTGGACTCTAGACGAGGCTGGCTTGGAACTCACAGATCCACCTGCCTCTGCTTTCCCGAGTGCTGGGATTACAGGCCTGTGCCACTGTGCCCTGCTTAGTATGAATTGTGTTGTGGATATAAGTTTTCATTTCTCTTGGTTAACTATGTAGCTTTTATATGTTTAAAATTGCTGAGTCGTCAGTAGGTATTTAGTGGTACTAAAAAGAATTTAAAACTCACCTTTGAATTCCTTTTAAAAACTGAGCCTAGGGCTGGAGAGATGACTCAGTAGTTAAGCATATGGTCTGTAACACCAATTCCAGGGCATTTGATGCCCTCTTCTGGCAGGCACAAGGCATGCATATGGTAAGTAAATACACATGTAGGCAAAATACCCCTATACATGAACTAAAAATAACTACAAAAATGAGCCGAGTATCAGAAGCTACATTTCCGGTGGGAGAGTTTCTCTAGCTTGCATGAAGCTATGATTCTGAGCCTCACTACCACATGAATTGGGCATGGCTGCTCATGCCCAAAAGCCCAGCCACTGTGAAGGGGAGTCTATTAGTAGGTCTTAGATGTGTAGCCAGTTTGCGGCCAGTCTGGGATCATATGACGGTGCCTCAATAGCCTAATTAGCTGGGTAGTGGTAGCCTTTAAATCCAGCACTTGGGAGGTAGAAGCAGGCAGATCTCTTGAGTTTAAGGCCAGCCTGGTCTACAGAGTGAATTCCAGGACAGCCAGGGCTTCAGAGAAACCATGTTTCAAAAAAGAAAGGAAAAAAAAAAACCCTATTTTTAAATGAGACAAGATAGTTAATAAACAATTGTTGTATTTCCCGAGAAGTGCTCTGACTATTCAGTGACATCCATCACATGAAAAGCTAGTAAGTTTTCTAAAAGCTAGTAAGTCATTCTCGCCAGGGGTGGCAGTGCACACCTTTAATCTCATCGCTCAGGAAGCAGAGGGAGGCAGACCTGTGTGCTCACAGAGATGATATGGTGAGTGCTAAGACAGCCAGGGCCCTGTAGAGAGAGCCTCATTAATTAACTGACTATCATTTTGGAAGCAAGACGTAAGTAACAAGTTTAGAGACATATAATAACTCTGCTTCTTTGCACAGCAGCTGGGGTCCTGTAGTGTCCCCACAGTTTTGTTTGCTATTGCATGCCCTCCAGCACATCTAGATTCTTCTGCTTCTGGCTTTTGTGGTCATGAGACAAACTTAGGATGGATTTCTCCTCCGCCTCTGACAAGATCCTGCTCATCTGGGCAGGCTGCTTCCTCTACTCTGAAATCTTTCCGGATATGTGTGTGGTGGTGTGCTGGCTCAGAGCTTCTTGGTCCCTTCCTTTATTTACATGCTTTATTTACATGAGACACCAGCACAGTCTCTATGCCATTTGAATCCTTGGGTCAGGCATTATCACTTCATTTATGTGGTATAGGTATTTATATCCTGTAAGTAATATTTTTTGTTTGTTTTTGAGACAGGGACTCTCTATGTAGCCCTGGCTGCTCTGGACTCACTTTGTAGACCAGGCTGGCCTTGAACTCACAGAGATCCTCCTGTCTCTGCCTCCCAAATACTGGGATTACAGGGGTAGGCCACCAGGCCCAGCTGGGTTTTTTTGTTTTTTACCTTGTGTTATTATATGTCTCTAAACCTGTTACTTACGTCTTGCTTCCAAAATGATAGTCAGTTAATTAATGAGGCTCTCTCTACAGGGCCCTGGCTGTCTTAGCACTCACCATATCATCTCTGTGAGCACACAGGTCTGCCTCCCTCTGCTTCCTGAGCGATGAGATTAAAGGTGTGCACTGCCACCCCTGGCGAGAATGACCGTTAGAAAACTTCAGCTGGGGATGGTGTTTGCTGTTGCCTATTCTTTGCTTGGCCATTCTTTGGTTGGCCTATTCTGTGCCCAGTAAATGTGATACTGTTTTGACACTTCATTAGCAGTTTTAGTTTTGAAGACAGTGAGGAGAGATAACAGCCTCAATCGTGTTTGTTTGGAGCACGTGTCGTCTGCCTAGGGCATGTGGTTAACTTTCTTTTCCTCTGTGCAGGGTGAAAAGAGGATGAAGACCACAGTGCTGACGGCTGCACTGCTGCTGTCTGGAATTCCTGCTGAGGTGATAAATCGGTCCATGGACACCTATAGCAAAATGGGTGAAGTCTTCACAGACCTGTGTGTATACTTTTTCACTTTCATTTTTTGTCACGAACTGCTTGATTTTTGGGGTCCTGAAGTACCCTGAAACCCAAACAACTCAAAAGACGTTTACAAAATGAAAACAATTTCTCTACTGCACTGCAGTGTCTCTAAAAGGGGCAAATTAGTTTATACCTTCATGGAATTCTGTTACTTTACAGGAAATCAATTTATTAGTTTCCCTGATTAAAAGGGTTGAATTTGTATCACTACTGTTATGAGTAATCAAATAGTAACAATGTCATTAACAATTAGAAGTGCAGTCTTCACCTTTCCCCTAACTTCTGAGATTTATAATCCCTTTTGTGGAACTGTGCTAGTACTTTAGGGGAGGAGAAAACATGGTCTCAGCCTGCCTACAGGACCACACCTTCTGTTTGTGTCCTTCTGTCCTGAGAAGTGAAACCATCCTAAAATAAAGTGAATGCAATTCAATTGTCTTTTTTCTTTTCTTTTGGTTCTTGAAGATAGGGTTTCTCTGTGTAGCCCTGGCTGTCCTGGACCTCACTCTGTAGGCTGGCCTTGAACTCAGAGTTCTGCTTGCCTCTGCCTCTCTAGTGCTGGTATTAAAGGCGTGTGCCACCACTGCCCAGGTGAATTGTCTAAGAGTAAGTCTGCACATTTTATTAAAATTTTTTTTAAAGATTTATTTAATGTATATGAGTACTCCATCTATATGTACACATGCACACCAGAAGAGGGCATCAGATCTTAGTATAGATGGTTGTGAGCCACTATGAGGTTGCTGAGAATTGAACTCAGGACCTCTGAAAGAGCAGACCGTGCTCTCAACCTCAAAGCCATCTCTCCAGCCCCTATTCTTAAAATTTTTAACACAAAGACTGAAACAGATAGCAAGCCTTATCCTTTCTTGAGTAATGTACAAACATTTCAACAAAGAAGGGTTTTGTTCATACATGTGGGTGGTAGTGTAACTCTGACAGAATGCTTGCCCAGCAATGAATCTCTGACATCTGAGTGGTGGTGGGGAATTATACAAGTGAATGCAAAAGGTATTTATTTATTTATTTAAAAAAAATTTTTTTTTATTAATTACACTTTATTCATTTTGTATCCCCCCATGAGCCCCTCCCTCCTCCCCTGCCGATCCCACCCTCCCTCCCCTTTCTGCATGCATGCCACTCCCCAAGTCCACTGATAGGGGAGGTCCTCCTCTCCTTCTTTCTGATCTTAGTCTATCAGTTCTCATCAAAAGTGGCTGCATTGTCCTCTACTGTGGCCTGGTAAGGCTGCTCCCCCCTCAGGGGGAAGTGATCAACGAGCAGGCCAATCAGATTATGTCAGAGGCAGTCCCTCTTCCCATTACTATGGAACCCACTTGGACACTGAACTGCCATGGGCTACACCTGTGCAGGGGTTCCAGGTCATCTCCACAAATAGTCCTTGGTTGGAGTATGAGTCTCTGGGAAGTTCCCTGTGTTCAAATTATCTTGTTCTGTTGCTCTGCTTGTGGAGTTCCCGTTCCCTCCAGCTCTTACTATTTCCCACTTCTTACATAAAATTCCATTCACTCTGCCCATCAGTTGGCCATCAGGCTCAGCATCTGCTTTGACAGTCTATACTGCAGAAGCTTTCAGAGGCCCTCTGTGGCAGGTTTCAAGGTTGTTTCCTGTTTTCTTCTGGCTTGCAAAAGGTATTTATTAAAAAAAAAGTTTATTAAGTTTATTGTCTATGTATCTTGTATTCATCTCTTTTTTGTTTAGATTTATTCATTTTTATGTGTATGAGCATCCTGCCTGCATATTTGCTTATACACCATGTACATATCTGGTACCTGCAGAGGCCAGATGTTTTTTGTCCTGTCTTGCTGTGCTCCAACCAAACTCAGGCCTTGTGCATACTAGCTTAGTCACCTAACATTGAACTACATGTACCAGTATTTCTTTTAAGATTGTTTTTATTAGATTTATTAATTTTGCATGTTTTACCTGTGTGTATGTATTGCAGAATATGTGTATTTGGTGCCTATAGAGGTAAGAGGAGGGCATTGGATCTCCTGGAACTAGAGTTATGGTTGTGAACCACCATGTGTGTGATGGGAATTGATCCCAGGTCCTCTGCAAGAGCAAGTGCTCTTAACCCCTGAGCCATCCCTTCAGCTCCTGAGAAGTATCTTTTAAAAGAAAACTAGAACAGAAGTGTTAAAGTGGGATCAGAGTAATTTAGGCAAATAATACAAGAACAGAACACTCTTTCCTACAGTAGTGATTGTATTAGTGGCTTTTTATTGATATAATTAAACACCACCGTGACCAACGCAACTCATAAAGAAAGTATTTTGTATTTATTTATTTTTTTTTAAGACCGAGTCTGTTGATGTACTTAAAAAACAAAACAAAACAAAACAAAACAAAACTCCTTTTTATGTTTCCTTTATCTTTTCTCCATACTCCACCCCAACCCCTTCCAACACCAGGTAGGAGTGAGAGGGCACAGTTCCTTCTTAGCTGCTTCTGGCTGGTTAGGGTCGTAGGGTTCCTTGGAGCCAGTCTAATCCTCCTTTCAGATCTCCAACTTCTCATCTCACAACAGCAACCAGGAACAGCAAGGGGGAAGCAGCAGCAGCCTTGCTCTCACTTCACACATGGGCTCTGGCATTTATCCTCTCTCCACAGTACTCAGATTTAAACTAGTAAAGAACTCCTCTCCAAGCTGGCATGAGGCAAATAGTCTGCTGCTGTGGACCTTCTGAATCAGTCCCACACCTGGGACCAAAACAAAAGCATGTTTATAGCCACAACGAGGTTTTCTCTGTGTAGCCCTGGCTGTCCTGGAACTTACTCCCTAGACCCGGCTGGCCTCAAACTCACAAAGGTCTGCCTGCCTCTGCCTCCCAAGAGCTAGGATCAAAGGCATGCACTTCGTGCACCGCCCACCTGGCCTCAAGTGCGGTTCCAAGCAGTATTCAAGGTATGTTAATTTCAGGAGTGAACGACCATCATTTTCCTCCCCTTCTCCTTTTCTTTCCCCCATTTGTTCTTCCAATTCCATATGTCGTAGCTATTGTTCATAGCTGTTGTTTCCTGGGGGTCTAGTGGGCATCTTCAACATTCCAGGAGTGAAACAACTTTCTTTATGTCCTCCCCCAGATCTGCTGCTCCACGTCCTTCTCATCTCTCACCGTGATCCCCCAGAGCACTCCACTCTTCAAAACCAGGAGTCATCTCCGTCCTCCCCACAGCCTCTGTGCAGCTGATGAACGTTCTGCACGAACGTTCTGAGCATTTCTCTGCTTCTGGAATCTAAGACACCAGCGATAGGTGCTGCTTTCTGCCCTTCCACTTCTCGAGACACATTTAAATTCTGTTTTCTAAGTTGGCTTCTGACTTTTAGCCTTAAGCGATCCTTCTGCCTAAGCCACCCAAGCAGTTGAGAGTGTGGGATCACACATAGTCTGTTTTCCCATTCCTACTGTGTCTGTCTGTATCCAAGCAGCTTGTGCTGCTGAAGCTTGCTGCTGCTCTGTGACCACCCATTAGTGCAGAGGCTCACAAGTACCTGACGTGGAACCTCAGACCTTGACGTCTCCATGCCTTTCAATGCTGCTCACTACTTCCCAGGTAGGCAGCAGCCTGTAGGTGAAAAACAGAAACTCAGCTTGGAATCTTCGTCCTTCATTTAATTTTTAAAAGCGAATTGATGCTGCAGGATGACCAGCAGGTAAGGCTACTTCCTACCAAGCCTGAGGATCTGCGTTTGATCATTGGGACCTGCATGGTTCCCAGTTCCTCTGCCCTCCACGAGTACACGCACATGCAGGCACTCACACACAATTAGAATGGAATTCAGAAGGTTGATTGCTGTGCTGAGACTGAACGCAGGGCTACAGACACACAGGGCAACGAAGAGTAATAGCCAATTGCATTTTTTAAAGAAGTCAGCTGATCGAGATAAAATTCATGAACAGGAAAATACACCAATTTAAAGTACACAGTTCACTGGATTTTAGCAAATGTGTATGTCTGTATGACTGCCCCAACCAAGATAGAATGTAAGAAAGTAAAATACTATACATGTAGGAAACATGAGGCAGAGAGGCAGACAAGACTCAATTTCAACGGGCTGAGACTGTTGGAACAGTGGGAGGCCCCTTCCTTGCAAGATGATGGCTGAGCACACTTAGAGGGCACATACTTTGTGCGTGCGTGTGTGCGTGCGTGCGTGCGTGCGTGTGTATCTATGGCTACCAGGAAGTTACAGCTATTGTGGTTTGATTGGGAGAAGGGTGGGTTATTTTCCATCCTGGCATATTATTTCTACATGTGGAGCTGACAGGTCCGCCTGGGGCTAAGCCATTCTTTACAGCTAGGGGCTATTGCCATAACAGCCTGACTGAATTTCCTATGACCTGAGGCTACTACCCAATATACCTCAACGCTGGAAGAGTGAAAAGAAAGGAGAGGGGTCATAGTTTCAGGGGGCCTTTTCCAGCTGGAGGAGTCAATAGTTACAGTGGTAGAAGGAGCATGTTGAGGTTCTTTGTAGGTGGGATAGGGACTGGCTATTAAATGAAGATTTTAATCACCCCCTGGGCATCGAAAGCTTGCAGTCTTTGTTGGAGAAACTTGGTGAGACACTTGAAAGGGTAGGTACCAAAGAATATAGTAAATCATAATGGTTAGGTCAGCCAAAGGGGTGATCCATGGCCCTTCAAGAATGTATTGTGTGTTCTTTTTCTTGTTTTGGTTTTTTAGAAAATGGTTTAGTGTTCATACTTTTTTAAAACTCTTATTTACATTTATCTTTTTCTCCCACTCCACCCCAATCCCTTCCAACACCACAACACAAAGTAGGAGATAGAAAGAGTTGGTGGGAGAGGGAGAACAATTCTCTTAGCTGCTTTCTGCTGGTTAGGGTAGTCGGGTTCCTTGGAGCCAGTCCAATCCTCATTTTTTTTCAGGAGATCTCTAACTTCTTGTCTCAAAACAGCAACCAGAGCAGCAAGGGGGAAGAAGGAAGAGCCTTGTCCTTTCTCTGTCCATGCTCTCTGGGCTCTGGCATTTGTTCTGTTTCCAGAGTCCTCCGATTTGAACTGTCTGCAGCTGGCAAAGAGCTCCTCTCAGCGACGGCATGAGGCAAACAGTCTGCTGTTGTGGACCATCTGAATCAGTCCCACATCCCACACCTGAGACCAAAACAAAACATGTTTATATCCACAACAGTTTAGAGGTTTCTTGTACTAAGCCACGTCGGTTTGCATAAAAGTGCATTCTTCCCCTAGGATGGCACACATGCCTCCCTTTTGAGCAGTCTAGTCTTATGCCATTTTGGAGGACCACTGTAGGCAGGAAATCTAATTGATTTTGCAAGGTGACTACAGTTTGTTACACCAAGGTCAGGTCTACCTTAATCTGATTTGCCAGTTGGCTGTGTTCTACCCGTTGGAGCCTTCATTGGGAGGGCTTAGATAGATGGATTCTTTGTTCATGTAAAGGGGGAAGTTGAGTAAGTAAAAACATTTAAATGATAGGGTAAAATTTTGAGTATGATGATAATCAGCAGAAAAGGAGTGATCCAGAGGAAGAGCTAAAGCAGGAGGAAAGCCTGTGGATATTTGTCTGGTTCCTGTGTCTCTGGGCCGTATCTATGGAGCAATTGCATTGGATCATGCATTTTTTAAAAATTTTCTTCTAAAGCCCCCAGTAGAGTGTTAAGAACGATTATAATCCTTAGTTCAATTTAGCTTTCTTCACCAGATTCTTAGTCTGCACGTCTCATCTTGAAGACTCTGCCCTCTTCAGTGTGACTCTGCTTGTGGTTTTAGTCATTTGCTCTACTCAGACTAAGCTCACAGAATCTGGCATACACACAACGAAATACATGAATGTATAAATAAGTACAAAGCACATAAGGAGGGGGTTGTAGCATTAATTGTTGCCGATTAATGCAAGCAAACTCACTCCCTGGGACAGCCGCAGGTTAAATTCGATCCCCGGTGGTCTCTGCATCAAAGACCCTCGCAGGGCTGACCTGGCTGGCCCACTCCATCGCACTCGCCAGCTCAGCGAGTTGCGCGGGAAAAGCGGCCCGCGCCGCGCGGCCTCCAGCCGGTGGGAGGCGCTGCGGAGCAGCAGCCGCTTCCTGCCGCCTGCTTCCTCCTTCCGCCCCGGAGCCGGCACATCCTGTTTTCGTTGGCCGCGCTCTGATGGCGGTCAGTGCCGGAGCTTTGGGCGCTCTGTAGGCTCGGTCCTCGCTCGGCACCGTGAGGGCTGGGTGCCTCCCTCCTTTGTCCTCCTCACAGGCCTGCGCGTCGTTCCGAAGGGCGCAGGCCTTCCGGTGGCCGGCAGCATGGGCCGGGAGTCTCGGTGAGTCCCCGGAGGGCGCTTCCCTGGGCTCGGAGAGGAGCGGGTGGAGGTGGCGGCGCGGCGGGGGCGGCCTGGCCCGACGTGTTGCCCCTGAGGCGCCGCTCACCTCGGTTGGGAGGACACGCTGTAGGCGCGCAGCGCCGCAGACGGCCCCGTGTGTGCAACAGCCGGGTCCAGCCCTGAGCGGGAACAGCCCTCCTCACCTCATCCTGCTACTTCACTGAGTCTGCAGCCTCTTCCCCTCGGTCATCCCTAACCCGCTCTCACTCCCCTTCCACCTGGCCCTTGCGACGTCGCTTGGGCCCACTTTCGTGCCCGCGTGGGCCTCCTGAGTCTTTTAAAAGGAGCATGTGGGCACTTTTTTTTTTTTTTTTTTTAAATCTCACGTGCAGTATGTGTACAACTGGCTTTCATTGGGTTGCAATAAACACCTGTTTCATGGCCATTTACTTCGCAGTAGATTCTATATTACTTTACCTGCTTTTTTTTTTTTTTTTTTTTTTTTTTAAACACTTCCCGCGGGATAAGCATATGGTGTCTTCAAAACTTTAGGATCTTGATAACGACTTCAGGACCTTGAGGTATTACTATTGTTATCATCATCGTCATCCTGAAAGGTTACTGATAAGTTTCTAGATAGTCTGAAAGATACTATGGTTCACTGTCTAGGGAGAATTAAAATTTTGCTTGCTTTTAATGATAACAACGCTTGACTGGATTATAACTTAGGTTTTGGGACATGAGGAAAGTGTGAGGGGAGCGTTTTGAAATTTTGCAAATATAAAAAGCCTGTAACGTCATCCAGATAACGGCAAATGGTCTGTCACTTTGACCGTAGTCAGTTCTTGTGGCGATCTTTTAAATCTCCCGAAGGCATTGTTCTTTATCTGGCTACCCAGACCAGAGATCTGGATGCAGTTATTTGACTCGTCCTTCCCACTGCACTATTTACCCACTCCTGATTGCTCTGAATTAATTAAGGCCCTTAGTTGTTTCTTTTGCCCAGACAGCTTCAAATTGATTCCTCCCTGAAGTACCGTTCTTGATCTTGCCGTTGTAAGTAGTATGCCGGAACCCGAGTGCCACTTCAGAAATAACGTTAATAACTAATTAAATATTGGAGTGAGCTAATGGCAAGATGAAGCTATATTAAACAAATGCAGGTTTACTGAGAGCAGCGTGGGAGAGGGAGGAGGGAGAGAGGGGAGAAGAGAGAGAGGAAATAAAGAGAAGTGGGGGAGGAAGTGGCAAAGGGAAGGGGGGAGAGATAGAGAAGGGCCAAGGCAGGAGCAAAAGGGAGATGGAACCAAAAATGTCTGGGTTATATAATGAAGGACCCCTGGGAGCAGGATGCCCTGCTCCTAGGTAGAGGGCGGGATATGCCAGCCATGCCCTGCAACAATTAGGGACCTAACGGTTGAGACCTGGCCATTTTCTGTCATAGATGAAAGTCAAACTTCTGCAGACTTTTCACAAGAAGGTCCATTTCCTCCCTTTACCTTTATACTATTGTCTTTCTGCCATTCCTGGCTTATAGTCTTGGTTTGTTCTTGGAACAGTGAAAGGCCTAGAGGTGAGAAAGAACAGGGTGTTTGAGAAATAGCTCCAAAAGTCAGTTTTTGATTGAAGAGGGCTAGAAGAAGATAGCTACTGAAAAGGCTCAGAGGGTGAGTAGATTGTTCATTTCCTTGTAACTGGCCATTTTTGGTGGTGGTGACTCGAAGGCTGCTATGAACTGATCTTGGGGCCTCACACAGGCCAGGTGTGTACTGGACCATGGCTTCTCCCCCAGCACAGTCTCACTTTTTTGTTTATTGTCACATGTGGAAACACCCAACAGTTCTCCTTCACCCTTATCCTTGACTTTAACTCATTACCTGGAGTCATGCTGGTGTTTTGTGCTTTCATGCTTTTGTTTTCATTGCCTATCTTGATATTTCTGAGCACCCATGCTTGCTGTTCTGACCTAAGTGGTCACTGTTTCTTAAACTGGATGGTGGCTCTAGTTGTCTGTTTTCTTTCCCGCTGTTGCCTTCTCTTGTTTTTTATATACAAGAATTCTTAGTCAAGGCTAGCTTTGAACTGCTGGTCCACCTGCTTTCACCTCCAAGTGCTGGCATTACATGCCTGGCTGAGTAATACTTCAATAATTGTCCTGAGGTTATGTCACTGTTTTGTTTAAAACTCTTCCAATAACACCTCTTTTTATTATTTATTGTATGAATATTTATTCATGGGGCTGGAGAGATGGCTCAGTGGTTGTAAGTGCTGGCTGTTCTTCCAAAGGACCTAGGTTAAATTCCCAGCCGCACATGGCCCACAGGTGTCTGTAACTCCCATTCTGGGGATTCACTGCCGTTTTCAGGTTTCATAGGCGCCTGCACACCATGGGATGCACATGTGTGTACTCAGGCATGTACATGTGCGCATAAGTGAACTAATTAAAAGTATTTCTGTAGAGATGGGAACTTGCTGGTCTGAAACTGCTTAACATAAGTGATCTCTCCTCAGTCTTAGCTGGTACGAGAGGTGTCTGCCAACATGTGTGGTCCATTAGCTTTTCATCTTACTCAGGGTAAAGGACACAGACATTGTAAGTGCCTGTGAGGCGCTCCATATTTGACCACTTGGTTATTTCTCTGGTCTTGCCTCATGGCGATCTCTTTGAGTTTTTTCTTTGAGACAGAGTCTCACTGTGCAGTACTGACTGGCCTCGAACTCAGAAATCTGCCTGCTTCTGCCTCCCAAATGCTAGGATGAAGGTGTGTGCCACACATCTGGTGTACTGTCTAACTTGTTTAACTGTCTTCCTTGCTATTCCTTTGTGTGCCAGTCCAGATTCTTTCCCCTGAGTTTACTCTTGTGTGTTCTGCCTGGAAGGTCTCCCCTGTATGCCTGCATGGCTCCTGCTTACATTTCCTTCAACAGTCTCTGAAATGTCACTTTATTAGTGAGGACCTTGTTGGTTGTCTGATATAAAATATCAGACTTCCCATTTGCTTTTATTCTGAGCTGGTTGTCTCTGTCCAGTACTTGACACTTGTACATTTGTGTCTTCACTTGCCCAGCATCTCTTCCTTCACCAGAATGTAAGCTATCTTCTGGAAGAACGGCCAGTGCTTTAACTGCTGAGCATCTCTCCAGCCCCTTTGACAGGGTTTTCCTTTGTAGCCTCTGTATTTGCTGAGGTTTTTAATGTAGAAATAAAGCACATGCTGCCTGCTAAGTGTACTCTTTGGTTTGACACTTTGCAGCCACTACCGCAAGCGCTCAGCATCTCGAGGACGCTCAGGAAGTCGCTCTCGGAGTCGCTCACCCTCTGACAAAAGAAGCAAACGTGGGGATGACAGACGTTCTAGGAGTCGAGACAGAGACAGAAGGAGAGAGAGGTCTCGGAGTAGGGACAAAAGAAGATCTCGGTCAAGGGACAGGAAACGCCTGAGGTAAGACATTTCATCTCTGGGCCTTACTGGATGGACTGGGTTTCTTCATTGCTGAGTTGTGGTTTGGAAATTCTGGTCCGTTCCTGGGCCTTCTGTTTTTCCCTGTTGTTTGATTAGACAGAGGTAGGTGTGATTGTATCTTTAATCCCAGCCCTAGGGAGTCAGAGGCAGGTGGATCTCCTGTGTTCCAAGCCAGTGAATTCTCTGTATTTTCTAGATGAGGAAACACAGAGTTGGGGATTGTCATGTGGTAACTAGCAGCTCATGGGAAGAAATGTTGCCTCCAAGTCTTCAGACTATGGTCTTTGAGCACAGGGTCTGCCCACCTCCTTAGAGGTGGGCTTAGATTCGGGCCCCCCATTTCCCTTCTAGGACTAGGGCTTGCGTAGCTCAGCGAGTGCCCAGGGCTAGCTGCAGCCTCAGCTGTGGGCTTTCATGCTCCAGATGGTAGATTTGAAATATTTGTTATACAGCTTGTTAGGTTTGTTAGCAAATTTCATCGTGAATGTTTCCATTGACCTCTGCAAGAACTGGCTTCACTTGTTTCCTGTTTAGCCGACTTGGTATCTAATTGTGAACTCTGCCTCAATAATGATCATAGGTTTAAGAACCTTTTTTTAGTTTGGGACAGTCATAATCTGAAATAATGAGTCTCTTTGGCCACAAAATAAAAGAAAACTCTCCCTTTCAGGCGTTCCAGAAGTAGAGAGCGAGACAGAAGCCGAGAGCGAAGAAGATCTCGGAGCCGAGATAGGAGGCGCTCAAGGAGTCGAAGCCGGGGCCGGAGATCCAGGTCCTCTAGTCCTGGCAGCAAAAGCAAAAAGGCCGAGAATAGGTAACACCATCATTGGACTGCTGTATTAATTCTCTCAATTCTCTCCCCTGTTTCTCTCCCCTCTCTCTAGTTTCTCTTTAAATTCATCCCTATCAGTAATTACAGAGTTTGACTCTTGCTTTGAGCTGTTGGCATATTTTTATTTATTTCATTTTACTTATTAGGTTATGGGGTTTATACTTCAGTTAGAGAACAGCAGATTCTGTGGGTCCTACACTCTACACTGTAGCCTTATTTAGTATATCTTGTTAAGGGTCAGAACTTTTGTAAACATGCTTTCGGGAATTCAGTTTCTTTCCTTGGGCCAGTGATGAGTACTCGAAGCAGGCTTGCTGGTTGCCATGCTGGGCAAGCCCTCTGCGTTCAGGCACATCTTTGGCCTCAGTGTTTCTTCCTTTGAGGTTGTTTTCTCAGATAGTTAAAATATTTGTTGACAACTTTTTAAAGATTGCTGTTTGTTGATTTATATATACCTGTGTAGGTTGTGTATATGAGTGTAGGTACCAGTGGAGGCAGGAGGCCTCAGATCTTTTGGGAGCTGGAGTCACAAGTGGTTGTGAGACACCTATTGAGGGTGCTGAGAACTGAACTCCTTCTTGAATTTAAAGCAGCAAGTGAATTTAGCCAGTGAGTCAGCTCTGCAGCCTAACAAATACCTTTTCATTTTCATGGTATACCTTACTGTACTGCTGTTGGAACATGTGGCCTTTGTTTGTGTGTAGTAATTGTGTATTTCTTGTGATGCTAATACCACTCAGTTGAGAGCCTCTTGTCAGTTTGGTGTGCTTGCTCCTCACAGTTTCCTACCACTTGGTATTACTACTTCAGTGAAAACCAAGAACTTGTTCCATGTTCTTGTTTTATTTAGTTGTTGGTACCTCTCCTTTGTTGTTTGTTTTCCTTTATAAGTTGTACTTTCCTTTTACCAAGGCCAGTATAATACTGTTGGGATTTCTTGAAATTCAAAATAATCCTTGGTTGTGTTGGGAGGCAGAGGCAGGTAGATTTCTGAGTTTGAGTTCAGAATGGTCTGCAGAGTGAGTTTTAGGACAGCCAGGGCTCTGCAGAGAGAACCTGAAAAGCAAAGAAAATGAAAAGAAAGTGAGATGGAAGATTACAGAATACTGACTTTTATCTCTTTTTATGTGTATAGGTGTTTTGCATGAATGTGTATCTGTGTGCTGTGTGTACACCCGGTGGCCGTGGGTTTCAGAAGAGGGTGTAGGATCCCCAAAAAGGGAGCCACAGACATTTGGAGTCACCGTGTTGGCGCAGTAGTCAAACCAGACTCCTCGAAGAGCAGTTGGTGCTTTCAGCTGCCGAGCCATTTCGCTGTTGTTTTTTGACACCCGTGTGTGCATCTTAGATTACTTTGTTTTTAACTTTCCAGGAATAGAGTCTTGCATGCTTTGTTCTGCATCGTTTGAGCTTCGTCTCTGTTGCTTCTGTCAGTAGTTCAGTTTTGTTGGTGAATAGTGTTCTGTGGTGTTACTATATACAACTTACTACTCCATTGAACTGGTGTGTGGCTAGGCTTTGAGGGCCTTGTTTAGTGAGAATTTGGGAATTTTGGTTTCTTTTAAAACAGAAATATATGAATATGCTTTCATTTTAATCCCAGGTGTGGGGATGTGGGCCTGCTTCAGACTGTCTGCAGCAGCTGACTATGATTTGCCTCATGCTCCAGCAGAGGTGGGGTTTTTCCAGGTGCAGATGATTGTGTGACATTTGAATTGTAGAAACTTTTCAGAGAATATATAAATGTTAGAGCCCTGATAGGTGGGATGGATGGATATTGGTTGCTCAGAGGTGTTGGTTGTGGTTAGCTAGTAGTCGTGGTCAAATAAATAAATTAGATTTAGAGATCTCTCTCCTCTAGCCTTATTTCTCTCCCATGGATGAAATGGATGGTTTGAAATGGGGAGAATGTGGGAGGAACAAAGTAGCAAAAGGTCAGTTACAGCCTGAGCTTGCTTTCTCATTTCTTTTTTCTGCGATTTTGGCATAAAATCAAAACCTTGTGCTTTAGAGGCAGGTGTTTTTCTTCTGAGCTATACCCATAGCCTAAGGCTTTTGAGAAGGGGTACCTCATACTAGCACTGAATTCCTGACTTCCTGCAGCCTTTTGCATGCTGGTGACTATTCCTGTGTACCTGCCCTAGCATACCTGCCCTAGCATTCCTAGGAAATAGATCTAGAAGTGGGGCTTCTTGGCCATAGACACAGCTCTGTGTAATGAGGCGATGGCAGGTTGCTTTCTGGAGAGTTTGTCCTCCTGCTCCACCACAGTGTGTGAGATTCTCTTCCCCATACCTTCCCAGTGTCTAAAATTGTCGGTCAGTTTTAAATATCTGCCAGCTGGTTAGATAGGCGATTATAGAGTGGGTTTTTTGATATTGATGGGAAGAAGTTAATTACAGAGAGGTTTTGGTATCCGAGATGGTGGCTCCCAGGAGAGATGACTCCCTGTGTGCTTAATGATGGCTAGTCAGGCTGGACAGTCTTTGCATCTTCAGTGGTCATTTGGATTTCTTCTCTGAAGCACATGTTTATAGCTTACAAAAATTTATGTCATCATTTTAACTTAATTTTTATGTGTTCAGTATTTGCCTGCATGTATGTGCACCACATGTGTACCTTGTGCTGAGGTCTTAAGAGGGTGCCAGATTCTCTTCATCTGGAGTTGCACATCCTGTGGGTGCTGGAACCAAAGCCATGTTGTCTGTAAGAGCTCTCGATGACCCCTGAGCTTCTCTCTGGCACATTTTTTTTTCCCCTTTATTTTTCTATTGGATTATTTCTTTGATAAAATTTCATTTATAGGGGTTTGCTGCTCTTGTTGTTGCTCTTGTGTTTTGCTTGGTCCTGGCTGACTGCTTCTTGTCAGCCAGGACCAAGCAAATACTGGGATGAGAAGTTAGGAGCTTCTCTATTTTGTTATTTAGATATGTCTAATGAGAGGTATCTTGGAAATGCTATCCATGTCTACCTAGATTTTGTCTTTTCTGAGCATCTTACACAGTGTGCAAGGAGGGTTTCTGTGGTTGTTTGATTTTGTGCTGCTGGGGATTGGCCCAGTGCTATGTGTAGGCTAAGCAGTTACCCTCCTGCTAAACCACCCCTCCCCCATTCTGTATATTTTAGTGTGTCTGCGTGACTGCAGCCTGCTGTGTGCAGTTAGATGTGAAATTTTTACTTAAGATGTCAAGTACACACATAGTTTCAGATTTTTGCATTTTGGGGTTTTCAATTTGTACTTGTGATAAATAGCAATTTTTCAAATTAAGAATAAACCTGATTCTGGGCATGGTGGTGCATATCTTTATCTTGGCACTCAGGAGACAGAGGCACTCTGTGAGTTCAAAGCCAGCCTGGTCTACAGAGTTAGTTCCAGAACAGTCAGGGTTACACAGAGAAACCCTGTCTCAAAAAACAAACAGACAAAAACAAAAAACAAACAAACAAAAAAAAAACCCAGCCAAAAACCAAAAACTGACAAACGTAGCATAGGAAAGGAACATTATATTTCATTTAAATAAAGATTAGCATACTAAATAAAACTATATAAATATATATACACACACACACACACGTGTAAGTAGCATAATTAATAGAGTTTACATCAAGAAAGAAAAATGGTGTAACATTAAAAAGTTAGTGTATATTAATGAGATTTAAGGAGAAAGGTTATTTAATCCTAGAGAAAAGTTTTACTATTTGTTTTTTGTGTGTGTGTGTTTGAGACAGGGTTTCTCTGTGCAGCCCCAGCTCTCCTGGAAATTCACACTGTGAACCATGCTGGCCTTGAACTCAGAGATCTGCCTATCTCTGCCTCCCAGTACCACCACCACCCGGTTTACGCTTTTTCTAAAATTGTGGTATGTGAGTGTGCTTACGGTATACTTGTCTGTGTGTGCACGTGTAAAGACCAGTACTTTGGTGTCTTCTTCAGCTATTCTCCGCCTTGTGTTTAAGACAGTGCCCCTGACTTCGGCATGGGTGTTTGCAGTGAGTTCCTGGAAACTCATCTTATGGCTCTTCTTCACATGGGGGCTGTGAATCCAAACTTAGATTCTCATGGTTGTGTAGGAAGCAACTTACTCACCAAGCAGTCTTCCCAGCCCATTTTATTAAGTTTAACATATCTGTGTTAGCACTTTAATCACAGCAATCAGGGATTACAGGCAGTCGGATCACTTGTGAGTTCTAGCCCAGCCTGGTCTGCAAATCAAGTCCAGGACAGCCAAGGCTACACAGAGAAACCCTGTCTCAAAAAAACAAAACTAAAACAAACAACCCCCCCCCCATATCTGTGTTTTTTAATTTAGCAGACATGAATAAAAGGATATTTTATAAACTGATCATAAGGTTAGAAATGGGGCTGGGTGAGTTAGCCCAATGGGTAGAGTACATGAGGACCTTAGCCCACAGGCAAGAACTCAGGTGATAACCCAGCGCATGGTGTGCACTTGTAACCCCAGCACCAGGAAGAGGACAGACTTAACAGTTGGGCTGGCCAGCCAGCCTAGCCCCAATCAGCAAGCTCCAGGCTGATGTGGGACTCTGTCTCGTCAAGTAAGGTGGACACTCCTAAGGAATGCTACCTCAGATTGTGCTTTGGACTCTACTTCACACCTGCACGCACATGCACAGACAGCTACATACTTGTGAACATACATGAGAGCTACAAAGGACATAATCTGAAAAATGAGAGGAGGGCTCCCTATGCGGTGCCCAAAGAGATGCATCATAAAGTGGCAGTCTCAAGAGTCTGGACAGGGTTAGGAGTCTGTGTGGAGATGGACTCGCAGAGCCCGATGCACACTCATTTTCAGAGCCAGTTGGTAGATGTCAAGTTACGTTGCAGTGACTGGAGAAAAGGTCTCATGATAAATATGCAGTCTGAGGACAGCGTGGTCTCCAGAGCAAGTTCCAGGTCAGCAAGGGCTACACGGAAAACCAAAAAGAAGAGCAACCCTGTCCTAGGAACATTTGCTGCTCTGTGGTAAAGTCACTGTGTTCATAGAGAATAGCCCTGAGCAGAACAGAGAACAAATTAAATGGCAAAAAAAGCTGGTAATTATTACAATAGAACTTCTTGTGTAAGTTTATGTCATAGAAGTTTGTACTGGAGATTATCGTGAAGAAGAAAGGAGAGTTTGGTTATTTTTTATATTATGTATATGAGTGTTTCACCTGCATGTGTGTCTGCATGCAGTACCTGTAGAGGCCAGAAGAGGACACCTGGAACTGGTTATGCTCCATAGGCTTGCTTGGAACTGAACTTGGGTCTTTAAGTGTTTTTAACGGTGAACCATCTCTCTAGCCTGACATTGATTAATTAATTTTGTTTTTTCAAGACAGGGTTTCTGTGTGTAGCCCTGGCTGTCCTAGACTCACACCATAGACCAGGCTAAACTCACAGAGATCTGCCTGCCTGTGCTCCCCGAGTGCTGGGATTACAGGTGCGCGCCACCACATCTGTCTTGATTAATTTTATATCATTAAAAGTAAGCTATTTTGTTATTAGAGGCATAAGGCAAAATGTAAGACTGTTGTGGTCTTAAGTACTACTACATACATGATTTACTAAATTTTTTTCCTAAGTTTTGTAATTGTTTTTCTTAGACAAATTTCCAAATATTTAGTATTGTTTGCTACAAAAGATTTACTTTTCTCATATACCTAGGTATTTATTATTGAGCATCATACTCAATAATATGTGTCCAAGTCTGTTAAATAGTCGTAAAGTGGGTGTCGTAGGACTTCAAGATGGCTCAGCGATAAAGATGTTATTGCTCAGGCTCCACCTGACTCTGATGCCTAGTTCCAAATGTAGGAGAGACCTGACATCTACAAGTTGTCCCCTGACCACCACATGCTATCTCTGTCTCTCTCTTTCTCATATATGCATTACTGAATCACTGTAATAAAGTGAAGAAGAAATGATTCTTGTGTTTCCAAATGGATGTTATCTAACTCTGTTTTCTTCTTTGGTAGGTCTAGATCCAAAGAGAAAGCAGAAGGTGGGGACAGTTCTAAAGAGAAGAAAAAAGACAAAGATGACAAGGAAGATGAGAAAGAGAAGGATGCCGGGGTATGTGTAGCTGCAACAGTCCTGAAATGGCAGTCTTGTTTTCACAACAAAATTATTTAATGACGCTCTTTTATTTTTATGTAATTGATAATGAGAAAAGTCTTCAAGAATCTTTCTGAGGAATGTTGCATTTTTCTGTTAACTGTTTTTACTTAGAAAGTGTGATCAATCCATATTCACAGTATCAAATTTGCCTAAAGCATACATATGACAGCCTGGTGTGGCGATGCATGCTTGTAATCCTACCATTCAGAAGCAGAGGCAGGTGTATCTCTGTGAGTTCGAGGCCAGCCTGGTCCACAAAGCAAGTCCAGGACAGCCAAGGCTACACAGAGAAATCATGTCTCAAAAAAAACCAAAATAAAAGGTGTATGAATTTAGACTCCAGACAGAATATAGGCTCAATAGGACCAGCAAGGTAGCTTAGTAGGAAAGCAGTTGTCACAGAAGCCTGGTGGCCTGTAATTTAATTGAGGGACCCACATGAAGGTAGGAAGAAAGGGTGGACTTTATGTTTTCTGTGACTGCTACACTCATGCTGTGCATATGTGCCCACAGAGGCAGGCACATGTAACTAAGTAAAATGAAAAGGGCTAAGGCATACAACAGTGTACTTTTCCTAGCATCCTTGCCAGTGTAGGGATGTCAGAATTGATTCTCATCAACATAATGGAATTAATTGATAATTATGTGAGTGTTCTTGTTAGATTTTGTATTATTATTTTATGTGTGGGTGTTTAGCCTGTATGTCTATATGCTGCTTGTGTGCCTGGTGCCGCCAGAATAGGGTGCCAGATTCCTGGAACTGGAGTTAGAAGTGGCTATGAGACACCATGTGGGTGCTGGGAATCAAGCTCAAGTTCTCTGGAAGAGCAGCTAGTGCTTTTAACTGGTGAGCCACTTCTCCAGCCAGTCCTTTGGATTTCTTAATTGAAAGTGCTTTTTTCCTGTGATTCAACCCTTACTCTCTGTCCATCCCTCCATTTCTCATTGTGTCTCTTTCTCGGAGTCCTGCAGTATGTAGTTCAGGCTGGCCTGGAGCTACCCTAGCCTGCTGGGTTTACAGGTGCTAATGACAAGGTCTGCCTTTGTGATTCCATTATTACATTTATTTTGTGTGGGAGTCAGTTTAACCTTCAAGAGTTAATTTTTCCACTATGTGAAGCATTGGGATTGAATTCAGATCGTCAGGCTTGGCAGCAAGTACCTGCATCTACTGAGACATTCTGCTGGCTTTGCTTTTCATAGAATAAGAGGATAATTATAAAAGTGTGTGATTAGTAAATCTGTTTTGTGTTTAGGAATTTATATATTTATATAACTTATCCGATTTTCTTTTTTTAATATTTCGGAGAACTTACTTAAATCTCATGTGGAGTACACTTGTTAATTCTGATTTTGATTTTACTACTTTTTTTTTCTCCTTCCCTGCCCAAAGAACTTTGACCAGAATAAGCTGGAGGAAGAAATGAGAAAACGAAAAGAAAGAGTAGAAAAATGGCGAGAAGAACAGCGTAAAAAGGCCATGGAAAACATAGGAGAACTGAAAAAGGAAATTGAAGAAATGAAACAAGGGAAAAAGTGGAGTTTAGAAGATGATGATGGTATATTTGGGATGTGGGTGATGCTTTTTTTCAAATTGTGGAACATAGCTGGGCGGTGGTGGTGCACACCCTACACAGAGGCAGGCCTGGTCTACAGAACAAGTTTCAAGACAGCCATGGCTACACAGAGAAACCCTGTCTCAAAAACAAGCAAACAACAAACAAAATTGTAGAAAATATGCATGATGTTGTGTTTACATTTTAACCTTTTGTCTATACCCCCTATCAAACTGAGGGTCAAAGTCAGGGCCATGTGCATGTTTAGCAAATGCCCTAGCACGGAGCTACTGCCCTCATTCCACTTTAACCATTTCAAACATAGAATGTTAGGTGTACTTATTCATACTACATTCAGCATTGTATAGCTACTGTCACTGTCCATTTCCAGAGCTCTTTCATCATCCCAGGTAGAAAACTATCCATTAAAGATCTAACCATCCTGCCTCCCAGCCCCTTGTACCTTACACTGGTTTCTGGCTCTGAGAATATGTCCATGTCTTTCATAGTGCGGTCGTTCTATTGGTGTCTTGTGTCTGGCTCCCCCCCACCCAAGACAGGCTCTCTGTGTAGTCCTGGCTCTCCTGGAACTTCCTCTGTAGACCAAACTGGCCTTGAACTCTGAGATCTGCAAGCTATATGCGTCCCAGCTTTAGAAATACATTAAGTATAATTACTCTTTACCTCTCTTCAATTAAGTGATTTGCTAGTATTTTTTTTGCTCACTTTTATGTAATAGTAATACACACGATATTAAAAATGTGAGACCTTCCAGGTGTGAGCATATGAACTGCACAAAGAGTGAACGATAAGCCAGGTTGAGGGATGCTTGCCCAGCATCACTGGGAGAAAAGTGATGGAAGTAACAGAATGGATGTGGGAGTGAGCTCAGGTGGCCAGGCCTGTGCAGCAGGCGCTCGTGCCACAGGCCTCTCCCCATCCTGCCTGTGACTGCCTTCTGAAATGCATTCCCAAAGCAAGTGTACTGTGCCGTTCCAGATGACGAAGATGATCCTGCCGAAGCTGAGAAGGAGGGAAATGAGATGGAGGGCGAGGAGCTAGATCCATTAGATGCCTACATGGAGGAAGTGAAAGAAGAAGTGAAGAAGTTTAACATGAGGAGTGTGAAGGGTGGTGCCGGGAATGAGAAGGTGTGTAGAGAGCTGCTCTCATCACTGTGTGCTCAAAGTTCCAGACCTTAGGATGGTTTTCTACGTTCTGTGGTCATGAAGTGAAAAACTAGGCTCTGTGGTGGTGCACAGCTTTAAGCCCAGCTCTTGGGAGGCAGAGGCAGGTGGATCTCTGCAAGCTCCAGGCCTGCCTGTTCTGCATAGTGATTTCCAGGACAGTCAGGAGGACATAGAGAGACCCTGTCTCAAAAACAAAACAAAACAAAAAACCCAACCAAAACAGAGGAGCCTATATTAAATTGTTTTCATTACATTTATTTCCTGTGTGTGTGCTTGAGTGTATATTTGGGCATGTGCGTATGACAGTGTGCCTGGGGGCATGGGTGTCAGAAGACAACTTGCAAGTGGGAATATGCCTCTTTCTCGATTGGCAGCAAGTACCATTCCCCCTGAGCCATGTGCCAAGTCCATAGAGTACAGTGTCTTGAGTTAAGAATGCCGTCCCAGGTATAGAGAGATGACTAAGCACTTAAGAGCACTGGCTGCGCTTCCAGAAAGCCCAGGTTTGATTCCCAGCACCCACATGGTAGCTCACAGCCATTTGTAGATCAGTTACAAGGGATTCCCATGCTCCCTTCTGGCATTGGCAGGTACCACATGTACAGGCGGTCTAGGCAGGCATACACATAAATTAATAAATTTTTTTAGAAAGATGCTTTTTTTTTGTGACTGATGAGTACTTGAAAGAAAAAGCATTAAAAATGCCATTTTAGGCATTGAAGAAGTGGAGAGCTCAGTCTGTTAATTCATTGTTCTTCAGAACAATGCTGGATTGTCTAATAAGTGAAACGTCATTCAGTAGAATTTCAACAGTATATGACAGTAAGAAATGAGCCTGTGTTTGTAGTGAAGGCTCATGTTGGGGCTGGAGAGCTGGCTCAGTGGTAAAGAGCACTGGCTGCTCTTGCAGGGACCCAGGTTCAGTTCTCAGAACCCACGTGGTGGCACACAACCCTGGGTGACTGCGGTTTCCAGAAAAAAACTGTTTTGTCCTCAGGCATCAGGCTCACAAATAGTGCGAAATATCTGTACGCATAAAGTACATTTAAAAATGTTATGTAAACTCACACATTCTGAGTCCATTGTGGGTGTGTGACCATATCTTGAGCTCTCAGGAAGTCCTATTAAACAATTCACACAGAACAAAAACACAGCTTTCTTGTTCTTCAAACTTAAGTCATGTTAGTTTAAATTACAGTCGTGGGATTTAACGTCTTGTATCTAGTGTCTGCATATTTTAAAGTCTTCTGTTTTTTGTTTTACTTTTGCAAGGTGTTTTAGTACTTCTTTTTTATTTTAGAAGTCTGGGCCAACAGTCACAAAAGTTGTTACTGTGGTGACAACCAAAAAAGCAGTAGTAGATTCTGACAAGAAAAAGGGAGAGCTGATGGAAAACGACCAGGATGCCATGGAGGTGAGTCTCCGTTCATTCTGACCTGGTTCATGCTCATGCTGCACAGACGACTGTTGGACACATTCTGCTACTCTCTGTGTTACAGTCTAACTGTGTGGAGCTGTGGGGAACTCTGGAACCCTTCATCCTCTCTTGTGTCTTCCTTTCTCTTTCCTCCTCTTTATCGGCCCTTCTCAAGCAGGCAGCACAGGATAGTGTAGCAGCAAAATGTGTGACATTTCTTTCTGTTGACCTATGCTGTCAAGGTCCTACTAAGGAAAACAGTAGCAAAACTTAATGGCATCTCTGAGAATGCATTTCTGAGGCCTGTAGTACTTTTAAAACTTAGAATAAAGAAAAAAATTAAGTTGAAAGCTTTTAAGAAGTTGGTTTACTTATGTCCATAATAATGGACATTCTTACTTGAGCTTGTGCTCTTACTTGAGATTATGCAGTTTTAAGGTTCCTGGAGCAACACGGGGATTGGTTAGATAGCACACGATCTGCCACGCACCGTGGACTGGTTCCTTGGCGAGAGGGGCTCTGTGACCACCAGGCCTGTTGTCTGTTGGTGGGGGAAACGAATAATGGACTTTCTCTTTGTTTCCGAACATTCAAGTACTCTTCAGAGGAGGAGGAAGTTGACCTTCAGACAGCCCTCACAGGATACCAGACAAAGCAGAGGAAGCTTCTAGAACCAGTTGATCATGGGAAAATTGAATATGAGCCGTTCAGAAAAAATTTTTATGTTGAAGTTCCAGAACTAGCAAAAATGACTCAAGAGGGTAAGATGTTTCTGCTCACTTGTTTATTTCCTGTGGTGACCTCAGAGGAGCACACACTTCACCCCCCGCAGGGGACTGTGCACAGGCCTGAGGTGTGTTTAGAAGCATTCTTAAAAAGAGTAAAATGGACCTAGTCACATAGTTGATGTTCTTAGGGTTAAAAGTACTGTTCATGTAAGATGCAGATAGAAAGTTTCCGTTGGCTTGTTGAGACAATGGTTATGTAAAGGCAATCTAGGCAACTCAGTCAGAACAGGTGATAGTGTTGTCAGTCAGTCACTATTCTGTTGCAGTTGATGGAAACATGAAAACCAAAGTGTTAAAATTGGGGTATTTTACGTTCTTCCTTTTTTGAAGTAGTAATGACTTTGTCTCTCTGAGCTTTAGTGTTTCTCTTGTGTGGCTGTGAGATTTTATTCCATAGCCCTTAAAAGAGGGGTCAGGGTGTTGACACTGACCCACCTAGTCAGTATAGGTAGGTGGCACCAGTAAGAGCTTCCTAACGGGGCTTTGTTTTCTAGAGGTCAATGTGTTTCGCTTGGAAATGGAGGGCATCACAGTAAAAGGAAAAGGCTGTCCCAAGCCGATTAAATCATGGGTACAGTGTGGAATTTCCATGAAGATACTAAATTCCCTCAAAAAGTAAGTGGCTGATGGTTATCTGTACTTTTCAGTGTCCTGCTTCTCACAGTAGCCCTTTCACACAGGTATTCTCTGGATCTCAGTTATATCCATAAGTGAAATTTAAAAAAAAAAAATCTTTTAAATGTGTTTTTTGTTGTTTTGGTTATTTTGTTTTGAGATGGCATCTCTCTGTGTAGCCCTGGCTGTCCTCGAACTCAATACATAGACCACACTGGCCTTGAACTCACAGGTGCTCTTGCCCCTGCCTCCTGCGTGCTGGAATTAAAAAAAGGTGTCTGCCACACACTGGGCCTTTACATGGTTTTTTTCATTTGTTCCATGTGTTTTATTGCTTGCCGCCTTGAGCATGCACACCGTGGCATGTGTGTGGACTGAGGTTAGAAGAGAGAACTCTGGGAGTCTGTTCTTTCTCGCCCCCTGTGGGTTCTAGGTGTCTACCCGGGTTCTGGCCTGGATGCAAGCACCTTCTCACTAAGCTGGCTTGCCTGCCCGGCCTTTGGCCTTTTCTGCTCTCCACCAAATAATACATTATCAGGTGGATATGTCACATTTAGAAAAGCTGATGTGTCTGTCCTCTGCGGGGGTTTAACAGGCATGATTGTTACATTGCATTTTGTTTGTTTGTTTCTTTTTTAAGGCATGGCTATGAAAAACCCACACCAATCCAAAGTCAAGCAATTCCAGCTATCATGTCTGGACGAGACTTGATTGGCATTGCCAAGACAGGAAGTGGAAAAACCATTGCCTTTCTTTTGCCCATGTTTAGACACATCATGGATCAGAGGTCATTAGAAGAAGGAGAGGGGCCAATAGGTACAAGTCTTCTCATTTCATGATTCTTCACTGTGTTCGTTGTTACCTCAGAAAGTTATTAATCATGACAATAAAGATGTCTTCATGTGCATTTCCTTTATCAATACACCAGTTTGGGGCTGATTTCCCCTTACCAGCAGGTGGAGTGAGAATCTTCAGAGCTCTGGAGTGACATCTCAGAAGTACAAAACCAGGCTGGCACAGCTCAGTGTTAAAACTGTGATCCGGCAGGTAGAGCCCTCGGGCATCCGTCAGTTTGCTCATGTTGAGGTGTGCATCCCAGACTCGGTACAGGAGGAGGACTGTAACTCCCTCAGGGGTTCTTGGCCACTGTTTCATGTAGGATGAGGTTTCCAGACTAAGATTTCTTCTCATTTTTGCAGTTACTATTTGCATATTTGAGTGGGGAAATGTGCTTTTTTTGTGCCTATACAAAGCACGCTGTATTCTCTGTCACAGCTTCTGAGAACAAAGTGCGTTTGGGGAGCAGCTGTGTGGCTTGTGTAGCACACTGAGCCACTTGATTCTCTTTGTTCTGTGATTTGCTGTTGAAAACTATTTGCATTTTGTTCAAGTATTTTTCTGAGGGTTAAGTATGCTATTCACTTTTCTTGTAGTTCACTTTTCTTGTAGGGAAAGAATCTCTTTCCCCTTTGCCTCAGTCTCTGCTGTTACTAAGCTTCTGAAACACAATTTTCAGACTTCGTAGAGAGGAAACAAGTTTTACTGTGAGACACGAATTGTGCTCCAGAGCTTAATTTAGTGCTTTAAAGCATCTCCTTAAGAATTGGGGTGATTAGGCTTTTAACGTGTTTATCTTTTCAGCTGTCATCATGACTCCAACTCGAGAGCTGGCTTTACAGATCACTAAAGAATGTAAGAAGTTTTCGAAGACCTTGGGACTCAGAGTGGTCTGTGTGTATGGAGGGACAGGAATCAGCGAGCAGGTAGTTAGAATAAAGCACTCAGTCTTTCTGTCTTTTCTGGTTGACTGATCCAATGAGTTAAGAAGTGATTCTTTTCTTGTAGTGCTTGATGTTTGAATGTAAGTGATTGTCCTTAAAATCTTGGAGGTACTTGGTGTGAAAATCATTGCAGAATGAATTGTGTGCCTGTGGCCCAGTGTTAAGATGGAGGAAGTAAGGTTGTGACCTCGAGGCCTCAGAACTACACAGGGACCTACACAGAACTACACAGAAACCTGTCCCCAAAACAGTGTATGATAGAAACTGGCTTTGTATATATAATGAGTTCTAGGCCAGACAGGTGTACATGCAAGACCCTGTCTTATACCCTTGACCTCGGAAGAATGAAAGATAGACTGCCCTAAGCACATGTTCTGTACACCTGTTCCCCAGGCCTAACCGCTAATAATACTGTTAGAGATTTAAATTTGCCAGCGTTGTAATCTGGAAGAGTCTTTCCACAACACACAAAAATTGGTGGTTCTGGGATATGATATCCGACTTGATTGTGTTAATCATTTTACCATGTGTATTGCATATCATTTGCATATCTAAAGTGAGTTTTGTGAGTGAATGTGTGTGTGCGTGTGCACGTGCGCATGCTTGAGTATTATTGAACCCAGAGCCCCTTGAATGCAAGGTGGGGAGCTCTGTCCTGGTGAACCACAGCCTTCTGGCTCCCAACACACAGTTTGTTGTTAATTATTTCTCAGAAAACCTAGGGGAGGAAAGAAAAAGTAACAATGTGTCTAATACAGATTTTGAAATTATTATTAGCATTAGCATGTCCTCCTGCCAGAGAAAGCATGTCTGTTTTTCCACTTTATAAGTGAAAAATTATTCAGAATGCTGAAATAAGTTGATTAACTATGTTAATTGGAGATGGAGTTGGCTCAGAATCTAAGTCTGTAATTCCCAGTCCAACAGGTACTGTCTCTAATGCATGCTGGCTTCTTTAAAAGATGCCAGTAATGCCATGTTTTACTGTCTTTAAAAAGACAGTAATGCTCTCGTCTCCATTCCTCATGACATGGAGCAAGATTTAAGCCAACCTTGACTGTCTTTGATTTGTCATTTTTTTTCATGACAGGATCTGTCTATTCTGTAGCACTGCCTGTCCTGGAACTCACTTTGTAATTAGGCTGGCCTTGAACTCACAGAGGTTCTCCTGCCTCAGCCTCCCAAGTGCTGGGATTGAAGGCATACACCACCATGTCTAGCAGGAAAACTTATTTTATAACTAGTGTTATAAAAACATGCCTTGGGAGTGTTCACTTTTCTGCTATTTTAAATACTTGAACTGTTCGTTTTTGCTAGTTTGAGAACACAGCCTGAAGTAAGAAACACTTTTCTTTGACACAGGGTTTCTCTGGCTGTCAGGGAACTCTTTCTGTAGACCAGACTATCCTCGAATTCACAGAGATTTATCTGCCTCTGTGTCTAGGATTAAAGGCAGGTACCACCACTGTTTGAGTATAAAACAAATTGTGTGTGTTTGTTTGTGACAGGATTTCTGGTAGCCCAGGCTGACTTTGAACTTGGTGTGTAGCCAAGGATGACCTTGATTTTCTGAGCTTTCTTCTCCCATCTTCCAAGTAATCCTGGGATTGCAAGTGTGCTGCCACTCCTGGCAATAAAACAGTTTCAAAAGCCACAATAAGGGAAACATGTTTTAAAGCCTCTGCAGTCAGCATTGAGTGCATGTGCTTTTGCCACAGGCCAGGGGCAGGAGAGGACGCTGCTGCCAGGCTCACCTTAGCGTTGGGATTAGAGAAGCCCCTCAGACCCTGTCAGACAAGGGACAGGAAGGAAGTGGAAGCATGGCAGAGCGGCCTGTGTGTGATTGTGATCTCTGCCAGGGCAGCCTCAGTTCTGCTAGAGAGGCGCTATGTTTCCTTGTTTTCATTCATGTTTGGGGGGTGTGTGTGGGCGCATGTGTGTGAACTTGCTTCTGTATGTTTGCCCACGTGCACATGCCACTACACATGTGTCATAGTCAGAAGACAGCATGTAGGAGTCAGTTCTCTCCTTTCACCATGTGGGATCTGGGTCTTGAACTTGGTTGTTAGACGTGGCAATGAGCACCTTTACCCACTGCACCATATCACTAGCCCTGTGATAGACTTTCTGAAAGACCCAAACACATGTAGGAAACAGTAGCTCATGTGGAATGTTTGCTACAGAAGAAGTCACCCTGGTGCTTCCTGTAACTACAGAGATGACATCCAGGCCAAGATTCCAGAAACCGTAATTGCTTTAAGGTTGGAGAGCTGGCTCAGTGGTTAAGAGCTCTGCCTGCTCTTCTAGAGAACCTAGGTTTGATTCCCAGAGCGCCTGCATCGCCACTCAAAGCCATCCTAATTTTAGTTCCATGGGGATCCAGTGCCCTCTTCTGGTCTCTGCAGCCACTGCACATATGTGCTTCATAGACATAAGTGCAGAGGAAACACCCAACCACATAAAGTAGAGAAGATGGCCTAGTGCGTGCATGCATAAGGTAGGGATGCGGGGCCCAAAGCAGAGGCTAGGTGTCCGCAGCACTCTTTCATTGTCTGCTCTATTTGAAAATGCTGCTGTGGCTAAGAAAACTGAAGTTGTGGTTTCCTAAATATGGGAAGCATTGATCTCTGTACTAGAATATATATTATATCGCTTATTCTTATGTTCCTTTCTTGGGTTTGAACAATAGTTGCAAATTAAAATTTGTAAAGTTCTTTAGTTTCAAGTTGCCATCCTGCTGCTCCCTATCTGTCAGTGATCTAGCAGCCTCACTGGTCACGTGGCGGCCTCCAATCTTCTCCTCAGATTCTGTCTAACTCGTTAGAGCCATGCAAGGGTCAGTGCACTGTTTTCACATCTGTTTAAGAAGTAGCAGTGACTATACTGTAAAATTTCATCCTGTTTTATTAGATTGCTGAGCTGAAAAGAGGTGCTGAAATTATTGTTTGCACACCTGGTCGAATGATTGACATGTTAGCAGCTAACAGTGGTAAGTCACGGGTATTTTATTATTTGTTTTCTGTTTTGAACTTGACATGTTCTTGTTAAAGCAGATATGAGAAACCAGCAGAGGGTTTCTGTGTTTCTTCTTAAAGCTGTAATATCTTAAAATGTAGTACTTTAATATCTTAAATGTGAATTGTAACACAGTTATTGTTGGAAGTATTAAGATTTTGATATCAATTTATTTCACAACTTACTCTGTAGAACCTTATTAGCATTTAACTTGGCTCGTTTTATTGTTGTATTGTTTATCCTTGCTATTAAAAAGGTGGCATCAGCTGGGCACAGTGGCGCATGCCTGTAATCCCAACACTCAGGGAGGAAGAGGCAGGCGGATTTCTGTGAGTTCAAGGCCAGCCTGGTCTACAAGTTGAGTCCAGGTCAGCCAAGCTACGCAGAAAAACACTGTCTTGAAAAACCAGGAAAAAAGGAGAGAGAGAGAGAGAAAAAAAGGTGGCATCATAGTCTTTTACAAAATTCTCCATGGGAGCTAGTATTTTATATTAGACAAATTAAGTTATTGCAGCTTCAAGAAATATGTCTTTTGTAAATACTGCATGTTTTTAGCTCAAATGTTATGCTTTGTTAAAATATTCCCTATCAAAACTGATACTAAACTGTTGACATTATTTAACTTCTGTGGAGAAAGGCCCTTGAGGATTTATAGACCTGGGCTTCCGAGACGTTAACGTCAAAGGTAGGTGACCTAATGCTGTTCTACCTTCGAGGCTCTGGCGGCTGGAGATGTTAGTGTGGACATTAGCTCTTTAGTCTTTGAAGAAACAGCTTTTGGAGGTTTCCATTGCAGCGTTCAGTCTGTATGGGACTGAATGTTGGGCCCGAGAAGTGCATGCTTGTGCTAGTGTTCCGCCTGAAGCTTGGGTAGACGGCACTCTCCCCGAGGTGGTTTGGTGAGGCCTTGCGCTTGTAGAGCGGATGAAGGTTTGGGGGTGAATGCTGACTGAATAATCCCTTGTTTTTTTTCCTCACTATTATATTAATTAAATCTCCTAAAATCCACCCTGATTAATTTTACCTTTTCCCTTTATACGTCTGTTTTTTTTATCTTTTAATAACTTTTATACATATTTCTGCCAGGTTCTGCAGTTGATAGCAATGCTTAGTATATTGATCTTTGGAGAAAAGCTTTTCTGTATTTTTAGTTTAACTGGTTAAGAAGCCAGGCTATTGATTTAAACAAGTGGCAGTGATTAATAATGTAATGTGTGTCTTTGCATAGAAAAGTATATTTATATGTAATGCACTTACTATTTAAGGTTTATGTCGTATATTGTTACCAGTGATTTTTGAGCAGTTTCTTTTTAATGGTTTGACGTGCCCATTTAAAGCGCTTCTAACTATATGGAAGTAGGATATAAAGCAGTAGAGAGAGGTTTTCTGCCTCTGAAGTAGTTAGCACCTGAACCTGCTTTCCACACATACGCTGTAATCTCTAATATGTTTTTTTCTAGGTGATGCTGTCAGATAATGGCTGATGTGGCTCGATGCTTCATCTCAGTCTTAGTTTTATGATGTGTTTTGGAGAGGGCTGTTTTCTGAATTTTACAGGTTCTTCAGGCCCTATGATGGTATGCAAGAGACGAGTTTGACAAAATAAAGGGCCTCATGTACCCATTGTCAGAAAGTACTTGCCACTAGATTAAGATTTTAGACCAAAGTTTCTTTTCAATGTTTAAACCTAACCTACCCCTCTGCTAAGTCAGGCATTTTAGTTCCCTTTATGGTTTTTTTAAAAAGTTCTTAGTTGTCATCATGAATTGTGACTGATAGTTAGTTTTCTTTTTGTCTGTCTTTTCTCTTCTCACCTTAGGTCGTGTCACAAATCTCCGAAGAGTGACATATGTTGTTTTAGATGAAGCCGACAGAATGTTTGACATGGGTTTTGAACCACAGGTAATCATTAAATTTCTTTGTAATTTTAAAGGTTTATGCTGTTTTTAATGGTATGTGTGTGTGCATGCACACACACACACACACACACACACACACACACATACAGGTACAGGTTCTTTAAGAGCTAGGAAGTGTCAGCAGATCACCCTGTAGCTGGTGTCAGGTGACATGGGCGCTGGGTGGGCACCTGGCACTGAACTTGGGTCTTCTCTAAGAACTGTCTCTCTGGCCTCTCATTAAGGTTCTGAAGTTTTTGATTTTGTAACTGCTGTGAAAATGAAATATTTGTGAGGTCTTGAAATTCATACTTATTCCATGTTGCCTATTAATACAATGTGTTAGCAACATAGGGAGTTGTAGTAAATATTTATGTTTCAGATTAAATTCTTTTTTCTTTGTTTGTTTTTTCAACACAGGGTTTGTCTGCATAGCCCTAGCTATCCTAGAACTCTCACAACAGACCAGGTTCACCTCGAACTCACAGAGATCTCCCTGCTTCTGCCTCCTTACTTCAGGGATCAGAGGCGTGTGGCACCACCACTTGCTCTGATTAAATTCTTAAAACTTGTTGAGGGTTTTGTTCAGACATTCCCCAGCAATCAAAACTAATCTTGGTTAGACTGGATCTAGAGTGCTGATAGTGAGGGTACTAGAAACCTTGATGTTTCTCCTGGACATGGTGGTATAAGTCTACAATCCCAGCACTCTGGAGGCAGAGACAGGTAGGTCTCTTGAGTTTGAGGTCAGCCTGGTCTACAGAGTAAGTTCCAGGTCAGCCAGGGCTGTGTAGAGAGAGACCCTGTCTGAAAAGCAAAGCCGTGCAAAGCAAACTAAGTCGAGTGTTGTGTCAGGCTGCATATGCTTCTGGGATGCATAGTGAAACCCTGTCTCAGGAAAGGAACTGGGCACAGGAAGTGTTGGAAGTGGAGTGATTAGCCTCTTAATTTGTTGAGTGTTGCATTTAGCTTCACAAACTGAATTTTAAATGGGACTTGGGCAGGTGGCCTGAAAATAGGATTTTGGAGTACTTGAACCATTCAACAAAGAGTTACAGAAATGCAGACTAGTCAGCATGGAGCAGAGGACCTGCTGTCAAGTGCAGCTCTTAACAAGTCTGTCAGAGCCTTTGGGCTCAGTGTCACTGAAACCACGTGAGGAACCCAAAGGGAAGTGGACTGAGTTTAACTGAGGAAAGCTGAACAGGCTTCATTTTAAGATGAAATTGGTTGCTTTGTCAGTGAGGGGCAGAACGAATAGTGTGTGTTTGTTTGAGTACTTACATATTTATTTTGTGGGTGAGAGTTGTGGTAATCAGAGGACAGCTTGCAGGAGTGAGTTTATCATATGGAACCCAAGGAGTGAACTCAGGCAGTCAGCCTTGGTGGCAGGCTCCTTAATCTGCTGAGCCAATTTTTCTCTTTGTTTGTTGTTGTTATTACTAAAACCCGTGTAAAGTTAAGTTAAAAGAAAGTTAGAGGGAGTGGGGATTCTTGTGAGCTTCACTGGTTAAAAATACCAGTGAGTTAGTGCTCCAGGTGCTGTGTGCTGCTCTCTGGAGATACATAATTTGATACTGATAAATCACCATGACTAATACAACTTGAAGAAGGAAGGGGTTGATATTTGTCGTCTGTGATGGCAGAATGGAGGCATGGCAGCAAGCTTAGTCATAGGAGGAGGAAGTTGAGTGCTCATGAATTGAGCTGCATTCATGAGGTAGGGAGCAGTCTGAAGGTGATGTTATGGATTTAAGCTTCAAAGCCCTCTTTGGTGACATACTCTAGAAAGTCCTCTCGACTTTCACCTCTTCAGATAGTGCTATCAACTGGGGACCAGGTGTTCAAGTGCCCAAAACTATTTCTCACTCAAACCACTATAGAGAATAGTAAGAAAAGTCACAGTTGCCTGTAATCCCAGCACTCAGGCAGGCAGATCTCGGTGAGTTCCAGTACAGCCTGGTCTACAAAGCGAGTCCAGGACAGCCTGGGCTACACAGAGAAACACTGTCTTGAAAAACAGAAAGTACAAGTCAATGTTATGTAAATTAAAGCTGGAACTATGGAATGAATCTCTACTTGGCATCTGGTTGGAATAGGAATGGTTCCAGCATGCTTCCAGGCAGAAGTCTATACTGAAGAAGATAATGAAAATCGGGAATTAAACCATATCATTGAATGTACATTTGCCATTGGACTAAGTTGTTCAGTGACATAGCAAGTTCTATATACTTATGCAAATAAATTGCCTTGAACTTAAAACTTCAGTGGTAAACAGTGAGCTTTTAGGGGCGGGAAGATAGTGTGGTCACCCTGAACTTGATTCCTGGTGTGTATACGTAATCCCAAAGCCCGGTCTGGTGATGCTTGTTGAATCCTGGTGTTGTGTGGCAGTGGACATGAGCAGATCTGTGGGGCTCAGTGGCAAGCCAGCCTAGCATAATAGTGAGTTCCAGACCAGTGAGAGACAATGTCTTAAGGGAAAGGAGACAGTGAAAAGTACCTGAGAAAGAAAGGACTGAGCTCATAGACAGCTGATAGTGTGGTTTGCTTCTTTTCTAAGGCTCACTGCTTTTAGTTTACTGAAGAAAGAAAGGTAGACACATTTCTAACTGCTGGGAGAGAGTTGAGTGACTCTTCGAAGCAGAGGGTCATAGGGTACCAGGGCATTATCACACCTGAGGAGTGGAGAGGAACAGAAGTGAAAGGGAAGTGAGCAGAAGCAAATGTGCGGATTCAGCTCACTTTAAAGGATGTGTCCTTCCTCTGTGCACACATTTGGCTGGGATTTGACACAGTGTGAAGTGAAGTTCGGTCCGTTTTACTTTCGTTTTAAATTACATTGATTTACATATTTAGTCGTTTGTTGTGTAGTGTGTGTAGGTGGGGTCATGCAAGTGCCATGGTTCATATGTGAACATTAGAGGGCAACTTGTGGAAGTTGGTTCTTCTTTTCTATCGTGTGGGTCCTGGGATCAAATTCAGATTGTCTGATTTGGTGCCAGATGCCCTTATTGGCTAAGCCGTCTTGTCGTTCCCACTTTTACTTTGTTCTTTTTTCCGTCATTTAGAGCAGGCTGACCTCAAGTTGAGAGACGTGCCTGCCTTTCCTCTGTAGTGTTCTTGATCGAAGGTGCTATGGTGGGCCATGCATGTGCTTGTCAAGCATATGGCGTTTACAGGGTCCTACTGCCTTACTGAGAGGCTATTGTAATTTGAATGCCTTATCAAATTGACGTAAAAAATAGGCTTCGAGGGCCGGAGAGATGGTTCAGCGGTTAAGAGCACTGACTGCTCTTCCAGAGGACCTGGGTTCAATTCTCAGCACCCACATGGAAGCTCAACAACTGTGTTAACTCCCAAGATCTGACACCCTCACACAGACATACATGCAGGGGAAACACCTGTGCACATAAAATAAAAGTAAATAAATTATTTTTAAAACAAATAGGCTTCAAGGTTCCTCCTTAGGTAGCTTTCTCCTTTCCTCTTTTTCTTTCTTCCTATGTCTTGTGGGTGCACGTGTGTATGCATGCAGATGTGTCAGGAAACAGGAGAGTGGCGATGGCTGTTGTTTGGGGGCTGTCCACCTTGTTTCTTGGTGCCAGATCTGTATCCAGACCTGGCATTGCTGGTTAGGCTTGCTGGCTGGGTAGGAAGCCCTGGAGATCTGGCCTTCTCCTCCTACCCCTGGCTGGCTTACAAGTGCTTCCCCCACCGATGGGCTGAGGCTCAGGCTCTTGTGCTTATTCAGCGTGGACTTTGCCCTTGCCTCTCCAGCCTGGGTCGCCCTTTCTTGAAACAGAACAGCAAATTCATGGATAAAATAAGTTGAGATTTTCTAAGTTAACAAATTTAAAGTAACTGAAATAGTTTTCTAAAGTTGGTTCTGCTTAATGTGAGCATTGTGTAAATCTGTGGAGAGTCACTGTGTTTATATGTGTCATTGTTCAGGTCATGCGCATTGTGGATAACGTTCGACCTGACCGACAGACAGTTATGTTCTCTGCTACTTTCCCTCGAGCTATGGAGGCCTTGGCCCGCAGGATCCTCAGCAAGCCCATTGAAGTCCAGGTCGGAGGCAGGAGTGTGGTCTGCTCGGACGTGGAGCAGCAGGTGGTACGTACCGTGCTCAGGACATCACTAGTTTCCTGTGTGTATCATTTTGGTGGTGTTGTTAATTGATAGCTTCTAAAGTTTTAAGTGTTATTTGTCCTTTTACAACCTTCAGTCTATTGCCAGGGACATGGAACAAAGCTCTTTCTAGTTCTTCCCACTAGAACTGAGGGCTGACAGAGAGGTTGCATATCTTTCTTGTCTTGATTAGTAGCATTCGTGGTTAAGCGATGTAGAGAACCAGTGACCAGTTGCCACAGTTACAGATTTACCAGTTAAAAGTCTGCATTTGCTTAGTTGTTTTGTTGTGTAGGAAGCTACAGATTAAACAGACATTTTTGTTCTAGGACACATTTGTGGGTTTTGCATTAACTTGCTACATTGTGGTGTTTTCAGATTGTGATTGAAGAAGAAAAGAAATTCTTGAAATTACTGGAGCTTTTAGGCCACTATCAGGAGTCAGGATCTGTCATCATATTTGTGGATAAGCAGGAACATGCTGATGGTCTCCTGAAGGACTTGATGAGAGCATCTTACCCTTGCATGTCTCTTCATGGAGGTAACGTTTACTTAACTTTAAAAAAAAAACAACATTTTATTCTTTGTGAGTTGCACATCAAGCACCCCAGTCCCATTCATCTCCCCATCCCCTGGTATCCACTCTCTAACCTTGCAAGCCACCCTCAAGGGAAAATAACACACACA